CTCATGTGCAATGAGCTCCTTCATCATCACATGTGTGAGCTTTGCAACATCTCCAAGCCATTTTCACCTTCATGGCATATGTTGCTCACACACATGTACCTGTGGACTAATCACCTGTGTATCTCACATAAACATAATTAGTCCACCTAGGTTGTCACTCAATTATCAAAACCACACAAGGACCTTTCAGTAAGGCGCTCAAAGTCAACCGCAATACCGAGGACCGTATTCTGCCATGCCCTGCGCACCTACAGGACGGTGCCACCAGGCCATGCTAGACAGGCACTATGCAACCTTCCAGACGTGTCAGAGCACAAACAATATTGTAGGCGTCGACGTTTGTCGTACCAGGCGAACACGGTAGAGCCTGCCACATGCGTCTGGACATAAACAGTATTGTGGGCGCCGACGACCGTCTCGTACCCGATAGCGTGGGCGACAAGACTAGGTAGCACACGTATTCATTCTCTCTTTCGCTGACTTGTAAGGCCATCCCCTTCGACTATAGAAGGGGATGAGCTCTCTCCTAAAAAGCTCTCTAGCTCTCCTCTAAAAAGAGAAGCTAGACGATTTAAGCATTCGAGGACCTAAGAACTCGAATAACTCAATATCTCTAGAACTCTAAAGCTACACGGAGCATATGCTCCAATACATAGCGCACGTTAGGGCACCCGTCACTCTCGGCCATTTGGTTCAGAGTCCGACCGGGCCTTTAACACCCCCCTTCTCATTCCTACTTGTTTGTAACTCCACAGCAAACTTCGAGCACCTGGGTTCAGGGATAAAGTCACCGACCGACTGAAACTAGATGTAGGGCACGTTGCCTGAACCAGTATAAATCCCGTGTCATTGAGTGTTAGGCCACATCCGATCACAACGCATAGCAAAACTACAAATATTTACTTGTTGGTCACTTTTTGCACCGACCCAAAGATGACTCAAAATGTGGACCCTTGCCATGTAGTCCACCATCCCATGTCCAACTCCCTTGGCGTATACCGCATACTCCGGGCAGTAGGTGTAGCTGGCTCTCCACATGACCTCATTGAGCAAGGTCGGGAATCCTTCGGTGTTATCTCCATGAGTGGCCATCACCAAACGTCCCACATCCATCTAGTGATGTAAGACAAGGTAAGTTAGAACAAATTATTTTGTAAAACTCAACTCATGCAGAAGTGGATGGGAATAGCTCTAAAATAGATAAGAGTTAAATAACAATAACAAGTGACAACCTTAGCATTTAAGTTCACATTTGTTCCAAATCATTTCTTATTTAATGAGTCAATATTTTATTTGCCTAAGACGTCCCCAACCTAAAACAGAAGTTGTAACGGCTCTCGATCATCTCTAGCCTGCTCTGATACCCGTCCGAGCGGCTGTCAGGATCAATGCCCTCTTAAGCGAATACCCAAGATGATAGTCCACTAGGGGCTATTAAATTGGACACATCTCTTAATCGGTCATCCCGGTACACCTCCCATAAGATGTACTAAAATACCAGCCTTCATCCAGGATCAGCCAAAGAGAGAGAATACATCACAACCACAGCTAGATCATATTACAAGTTCAAAGCACTTAAGTTTATAATCTAGGAGTTCACACATTTAGTTCATAACACAAGTTCACACATCACATACTACCATCAGAGTCTTAGCGGAAGTCTTTTAACATAGTTTTCCATGATAACTAATGTGTGGGTGTGCCACCGCCACACATCTGCGCAACATTGGTCTCCCTACCACTCCTGATCCGACTGAGACTCGGGAGCATAAAAGAAACCATGGACTGGGCTGAACTACCCTGTAAAACTCAAGATCACACAGGGTGAGTACTCAATTATACTCCGCAGGACTTACCCGATATAATTAACAAGGATCATGCAATTTGGGTAGTAGCAAGGAATACAATTAATTTTGCAGAAAGGCATTTGTACAGGAATAATAAATGTGATCTATGGACTTAGCAATCGCAGGTAAAGCATAGGTAAATGAATTAAGCAATTAGCAAATTGGAGCTCGATCTTCTATGAGTCCTGAATTCCAAAACAACTCTAGTCCGTATCTAGAAGTATAGAATTCCAAACCCAACTCTAGTTCGTATCTACGCCCTGTTCGCTTGGCTTATAAGCCGTACTTTTTTAGCCAACGAACAGTATTTTTCTCTCACAACAAATCAGCCAACAATACTTTCAGCCATGGCTTATCAGCTAAACGAACAGGGCACTAGTCTGTATCTAGAAGTATAGAATTCCAAACCTAACTAGAAGCCCAGATGCTTGCATGTGTTAATTTTAACAATTGTTTTAAGAAAAGGTTAAAAAAATTTAAAAAACATGCTAGTGGTGATGGCCGAGGCGGTGCCGCCGGGTGGTGAACTAAAAATAGGCTCAGGTGGCACTATTGGGTTTTAAACCAAGCTACCTACTCCATCCGTCCCTTTTTAATTGTTGTTTTCACGTCCTGAGAGATAACTCTAACTAAATGTGTATATAAAAATAATAATATTTATGATACATAATTAATATTATTAGATAGATCGTTGAATCTATTTTAATAATAAATTTATTTAAAGAAATAAATATTGTTAATATTCGCTACAAATCTAGTTAAGCATATTGGCACGTAAACTGTGACGACAGATAATTAGAGAGAGGGAATAGGCTGCTCGATACTGCTTGGAACCAAATTTTAGTGGACTAGCCAAATAGGTATTTGTATCAAACTTTTTTTTTGGGTAAATGGCTGCCTGTTTTAACAGCGACATAAAAGAAGAAGACTGCTGCTACCAGTGCTGGCCCTAGGGGTAGGGCATGAGGTGCGACGGCCAAGGGTTCAAGCGGAGGAGGGGTCCAAGTCCAGGTATACAAACCCCAGGTTCGGCATTAGCAAACTAATAAGAAGAGAGACATAGAACTGGCTAGGCGGCCCAAAAGGACAACATCGTCATTTCTTTCCTAGTTTTCTTTTTCCACGGCTCTCGGGTAGAGAGGAGGCGAGGAGTCACGCTGCACACAGCACACTCTGATAGTGAGTTCGCGACGTGCGCCTTACACACACGGAGCTGGCGAGCCGCACCGCCGCGAAGAGCTAGATTACAGGAAACACGGACACGGCGCACGAGGACGGCGATCAGGCAGGGCTCCACGACGATGACATCTTGATTCTTGGCCTCTTACGAATTGCGATCACCGATCAGTTGTTTAGGCCCAATGTATTTTTTTTCTTTTTATTTTTAATCCAAATTAATTATTTGTATAGTATTCCAGACTTCTAGTACTTTGTACCCATATAGTCATATTTTTCTTCTAATTTAGGTGTTAAAATTTTAGAATATTACCTAAGAAATATTTGTCATGGGTGAGAAAAGAAAACGAATATATTGCCTTTTTAATCGATATTGTTTCTCGATAATTATCATACATTTACAAATATATTGCTTAATCTACATTGTTCCTCGATAATTATCAGACATGTTAAATTAAAAATATGTTATTGAATTTGCTTTTATTTTGCAAGTAAAATTAGTGTCTATATATTATAAGATTTTATATATGGTCGAGAGATGCCGTTACAACGACATCACCGAGGGCCCTTAAGATTCTATGACCGGCACTGGCTGCTACAGTATTTACTATCTTGTATAGTTATGGTCCTAGCAGCTACCGCTGCAAAAACAAGCGGCCGAAGCCGAACAGGTCCTCCACTGGATCATCGAGTTCTGCTGGAAAAAAATTGCGTGTGGACCGTCCACCATAAGGACGTCCACTCAAACTACGACGCCGTGGACAAGTACGTCGAGTCTGCCTCCGTGCCCCGGCTCGCGAGTCGCGAGTCTGCCTCCCAAGTCCCAGCGCTAGCCCCGATCAAAACCGGCTAACTTGCTTCGGCTCGCAAGCCACAGGCTCGTACAGTTCGGCTCCAACGTCGGCACGTCATTAGATTCCCCATTCCACTAACACGGGAATATGAGCGACTTTGAAGCACGCCTGCGGCCTACTGTCGGCGCACAAGGTGAACGACCCAAACATTCCCCTCTGCCCTGTAGTTTCGTCGCTTCTTCCTCTGAGTTCTCGAGGCTTCTCAACTTGTCAAACAGGCCGAGAAGGCGTTAGCGTAAGGTTGACGCTGCTTCACCCAGGTCGAGAACGCGTTTCCAGTTTTTTACCACCCCGGAAACTGTTGAATTATGTAAGGGCGCCACATCAAATCAACCGCCTCCCTGTCTTACCCTCTCACTACACGGTCTCACTCTCACCTGCTCCTTGGATTCATGGCGAGGGAGCAGGAGGAGGGGATGGCGCACGGTCGAAAGGATCTCGCGGCTCGGCGGTGCGCACGGGCGGCGCGACGCGCGAGGCTGGTGACGGATGGGTGGCGCGAGGCTGGCGAGTGGCGACGGCCGCGGCGGCGCCGCCGCACAGTGGGGAACTCAAAAAGGCTCAGGTGGCGCGAGCGCGGTTGGGTTTTTTTTTTAACAAGTTAGCCAGGCTGGTCGATACTGCTAGGAACCAAATTTTAGTGGGCCGGCCAAATTTTAATTTTGTGTAATGGGTTTGGGTCAATCCACATAGTACCCCTACTCCCGTTACGGCCTGGTTGAGATGGGCCTCACGGCCTGTTTGACGAGTTGCGAAGAAGACTCAGGAGGGGTCCAGAAGACTCCAGAACTCAAACAGAGGAGCGACTGACATCCGGGGCCGGTATGGAACAGGTGGAAACTGGACGAGAACTGGATTTTGGGACGTCACCAGTGCGCCGACTTTAGGCGGTTAAAAGGGCCTTTTTTTCACGCGGGAATCTGGGCACAAGTAGTACTGTATATTCGTTGCACAGACAGTACACATCAGCGCTCGATGATCATTGTCATTTGTCAAGGTGTTCGCGTACGGTGGACGCTGGGTAATTCATTCATTTTCTCCCGCGACGTATCTATAAATAAATACCGGCCCCTGGCCGGCTACTCTCAGTCTCAGCTGCTCCTTCCATTCCATCGATTGATTCATGGCGATGAACAAGCAGGAGGCAATCCGCTCGGCTGTGTCTGTGCCTGTGCTCCGCCTCCTCGGGGTTCTCTTCCTGCTCTCCGGTGCTTGGTCCACGTCGTCTGCCTCCCCGGCCCCGGTGTGCGCGGGCTCACGTGAGTAGCTGCTGCATGTGACTGTGATTCATTGTGGATATGTGCATGCTCCTTGGTGGGCGTCGATCCGGCTTGCTTCGCTGTATGTGATGCCCTGTCCTCTGCAGGGGAGCCGGTGGTGCTGGGAGAGGCGCTCGGATTCTGCGGCGGCTACGCCGGCCTGAGCTGCTGCGACGCCGCCGCCGACGCTGGACTCAGGGCGGAGCTCGACGGCCTGCGCATCTCCGACGCCGCGTGCGCCGCCATCGTGAAGGCCGTCCTGTGCGCGGTCTCTTTCCCTCTTTTTTCCTCTTTTATTATTACTTTTACTTTTATTTATTTACCACTTCCTGTGTATGCTCGCGTCGCATCGAATGAATATACGGATGATTGGATACTGTATATACGTATAGTATATGCGGCTGAGTTCTGACCATTCCCCCACCGACAAAAAGCTGGAATCTCTTTATATTATAAAAAAAGGCATAAAAAAAATACCTCCTCCGCCTTTCCCCTTCGTCCTTCCCGTTTGTTCCGCGCGATTGGAGCCCCGATCCCGCCTGCAAACCTACCCCACCATGGCCAGATCCGTCCGCGCCGCCGGCGCCCCTGCCGTGCCATGTCCGGACCCACCCATGGCGCGGCATCAGCGCCGCTTGCCTTGGATGGATCCACCGTCCGCCGCCGTTCCGTGCTCGTATCCAGCTTCTGTGACTCCACTCTATCCCCTCTCCCTCCACGCGCCTCAGCTGTGGCCTGTGGGTGCGTGGGTCGATCGGAGGGAGCCAACGAATCCACCACATCCCCGTCCAAGGCATGCTTCTTATCATAATGTATTATGGTGACTCCTGTTCTTCATCTGGATCATTCGCTGGTACTGTGATTGGACTGACACTAGGTTCGAAACAACTGTTCGGTACAGCTACAGCCCAGCTGAAAAGAATTTCGGCATCCTTTGTCGACTAATCTAGTCCAAGTACAAATGATTGATTCGCAAACACCACATGTCAGAGCAGTTGGTATGCGCACGTTTTAGTCAATTATTTTCTGATCTTTTAGTCCATATATCTATGAATGATGGCTGCAACAAATTCTACTTAAATATATCTGTATAAGCTTACTAAATGCCCGTGACTGAATTGGTTTCCATTCGGTCAATGCACATCTGCAGAGATTGTGTTCAATTCCTACTATGCGTGTTCGTATACTGTTTAGTGTTTGTAAAAGGTTTGAGGTGTTTGTTCTGGAGGAGAAAAACAAAATGCATGCTACGAGATTTGAAATAAAAACAAAGCATACTTTTTGATGATCTGCGATTAGCCGATCAGGACTGCCTGGACATATACTGTGTTTTGACATTTCCCAACTACTAATGCAGAGATGCGTGCCATCCCTCTCGGCCACGCTGTTCAACTCGGTTGACTCTGCGACGACCATGAAGCTCGCCGTTCCTCTCCTCTGCGAGTCTACTCAGTCGTCGACCTCTGCCCAGCACCAGCCTGGCCCCCCTGCTACCCGGTTGCCATGGGAGCAGGGCACGTTTTGCCTTGAGCGTATCAGCACAGGATCCTTTGTCACCATGTCTGCTCACCCAGATGGCTCAGGCCGAGTCTTCTTGTCCAGCCAGGACGGAAAGATCTGGCTGGTTTCAATGCCTCATCAGGGATCTGGAGTGACCCTGCATTCTGACAGTCCTTTCCTTGACATCTCGGATCGAGTGCACCATGATGTGGTGCTCGGACTGGTGGGCGTGGCGTTTCACCCAGAGTTCACGACCAATGGCCGCTTTTTCGTCTCATACAACTGTGACAGCAGCACCTCACCGGTCTGTGGTGCCGGCACGTGCTGGGGTTCTGCTGCCGGAAATGGCTCCCAGCTGTGCAGGTATCAGCTTGTCGTCTCCGAGTTCTCTGCTAAAGGTGGCACTGACTATTCGAAGGTAACAGATTTCCCTTTCTATTTCTATGAGTCCTATTCACTTAAAATGGAATTAGATTTTTGAGTAGTACAAAGTACATAGATGTTGTAGGAACCTGAAGATTCAAGGATTGCCTATTGCTTTGCTCTAGTTAATTTTCTGCTCGTTCATCTGCATATTATAATTTCAATTTGCTAGGCAACTCGCGCTTATTCATCAGAAGTGAGGAGGATCTTCACCATGGGTTTGCCCTACCGCACACATCATATTCCTACCAGCATCATGGCGGACAGATCCTGTTCGCCAAGTGACAGCGATGGATACCTCTACCTCATTACTGGCAATGGTGATTTCTCAAAGAATGGGAGGTCATTTTTGGCAAAATCCTAAGGTTCTATGTTGGAGGTATGGCAGGTATGCATAAGCGCTTCAATATATCCTTATCTACCAGCACGTGTCATTATTTCTCTGTGGTTTCAGGTTCATTTGTCTACCTGTGATTTTCAGGAGAAAACAGATGGACAAGTGACCGTGCCACTCCAAGATAGAGAAGCCAGAGATCTTTGCTGCGGGTCTGAACAACCCAAGCGGATGCAGTTTCGACTCCAACAGGCCTTCCTACTTGTACTGTGCGGACGTCAATGAGGTACAGATATACTACATGCTTATCTTTTCATTGAGCATTCATTCTGGACAGCTATTGATTGAATCTGAATTTTCCTGAAAATTGATATGCAGAAAGCAGTGCGAGCTAGTGCATCTTATCACGAGGGTAGAAACTACAGTGGCTCCTCAATGAAGGTGACTGTCTCCAGCATCATCGACCACGGCCGTCCCACTGATGGCAGGATGCCATCGATCATTGGTGGTCTCATGTATAGAGGGTCCGCAGATCCCTTGCTGAAAGGAAGGTACAGAGATGATAAACATATCACTTTGCTGTGTAATTGGTTCGTACAAGGTACACTGTACTCACATGTCTGATTATGTTACATTACATGCTTGATGTAGGTATCTGTATGTTTATGCCTCCAGTGTGTGGGCTGGCGTGGATGCCCTTGAGAGCAGGAGCAGCGGGCGCAGCGCCTCTGCTCAGGTCCCCATCGTCAAGTGCTCCAGGAGCAGCCCTGTGCCCTGCAATGGCATCGGCATCGGCATCACTGGGCGTGTGCTGTCCTTGGGCGAGGACAGCAGCAAAGACGCATGCCGTCCTCGCCACCAGAGGCGTGTTCGATTGGTTCCACCCAGCCTATGCGGCGTCACTCAGCCACTGCCGCAGCCTGCACGTGGTGAAGGCTGGGTGCTGTCCGTGTTGGGATATGCGCTGTTGTTTGCGCTCTACCTGGTCTGGATGACAGTATTTGGCGGTGGAGGACAGATTAAGAGAAGCTGTAACGAGTGCTTCCGCGAGATCAGTTGCTGCACCTTTTATTTCTGGGGAACCCGCAAGAGATCAGCTCGTATTACTAAGAAAAAAGAGGCGCGGTGGACAATGAACAACTGAGCTTGCTCTATAAGGCCTGTTTGGTTTGCTCCTGGCCAGAGCTGCCTGGCCCAGGTAGAGCTCCCGGCGTCCGATTTTGGATGCCTGGCAGGCATAAGGCACCAACCAAACAGGCCTATATAGCTCTGGTGCCCAGCAGGGAAGGGAAGGGAAGTATGAACTAGCAGGATTGCCTGCATGTGAATAGCGCGACACCCGCTAATTTACCTTGTGTAGTACCGGTGTGCATGGAGCCATCGGTTCCATCCTGCTATTTTATGCGGGATGCTAGTTTACTTAGTGTGGTACCAGTGTGCATGGAGCCACCGGTGCCTATATCTCTTACTGAATGTGTTCAATTCAGTAGAATATTTGCTATGATCAGAATGTTTGTCATGTACATTCTTGCTACTGTTGTTAGTAATAATATGTCACTGCTATTGTTGTTAGTAGTAATATGCCACACTTACATATATTTATCATAAAAAATTTGCTATAAATTTTTTTTTGGAAAACATGAAAATGCCTAAATTCCTAACAGGATCAATACTAACTTCATGCTGCCTTGTAACTCTGCTCCCATTAGTTAAAGAACCCATATATTGCAGGACTCAACTGAAAATTTATATCGAAACGCTATGAACTGGCAAGAACGAAGTGTGTGTTTAAATTTTCTCTGTTTTACAATCCCCCAAGAAAATAGTGCTTAGTTAACGTAATAGTTTTGATTGATTAGCGAGCCAATGTTTGCTAGTCTTAAATGTAAATGCTTTCACATAAAAATAGTTGTCTAGTTTATATGAAGAGAGAAACATATGCACTGCTAACTTTCTTATCGGGTTTAAAATTTTGGCACGTCAATAAATATAATTTTATACTTTCGGAAACAGTACTATACGACAATTTCCGTGAAGCATGCTCTCACAGTCTTTTTTGGCACTTAGCCTTTGCTAGCTTCATGACTTTGGGCTGAGCATTCTTTTGGCATGATATTTTGTAATGATTGCAGTCAAATGAAAAAGAGAACAGGAAATAAGTAATTTATTCCACTTACCATGATCCATCGTGTAGCGGAGTTTGTATCTAAGTATCTTGCCTTCATCATCCACACTGTTTATATGCAAGACGACCTACAGCAACATCAGTCTTCATGTGACAGGAGTACTGGCTTGTTGTCTCTTCTGGGCATTTTGTCGAACGCATGTATTGCACGGGACATGACATGAGGCCAGAACTTCGGCGTCTGGAGTGTACTCGAGGTCGAGATGCAGGGAGGCAAGGCGAAGTGTCAGAGCGCGACCAGGAAGGCAACGAGCGGGTGCTCGGCCACAGCGTCTTGCAAAGTCTAAACATATCAAGACCAACTTTATATAATAAAATAATAACATTTATGATAAAAAATATGTATTACTAGATTCTTTGTTAATTATATTTTTATAGTAATGTCTATTTGATATCATACATTTTTGTGATTCTCTCTATAATTTTAGTTAAACTTGAGACGTTTTTTATTCTCTAAGAAAGTTGGAATGGCTTATGATTTATAACAGGCAGCCAAGTAAACATGCAGTAATAATTCTATTGTCAAAGGAGACTGGACAGCAGCGTGACATAAGCACCTGGCCACCTGGGGGCTGTTTGATGGATATCCTGCTGGCCGGAAAAAAAATTGGTACAGGACTCCCGCCCACTCAGATGACGACGCGTGGCAGGAGAGGGAAGGGAAAGAGGGAGGCTCACAACTGAAGATCCCTGTCGCTGGTTCATTGACAGTCGCACGGTGCAGTATACGGGAGTCCCGTACCCAATTTTCTTCCCTGCTGGCCGGGCCTAATTTCGGCCGTTGACGGGGTCAGCTCCGCGGCGTTTGGAAGTATGTCGTTGTTTGGCTTGGGTGGGTGGTGTAAGTAATCTCAAATCAATTCGACGCCTAGGTCTGGATAACGAGCCAACTCGGCTTGGCTAGGCTCGTTAACGAGCTTGAGCTAGACTCATTAGGCTCACGAGTCAGATATAAAAAAGTACACAAAATATAACATTTGCATTTATTTAAAGCTTGAGAATAGTAATAATACAAAATTAACACATCCAACATCTTTAAATTGAATAAAAAATTAATATATATGTGCTAACATATATGCAAGTATAACGATATACTATAATATTACACCATACATCCATGGTTCATACTCGATATCATACATAATGTGATCATAACTATCCATACATTCATTAAAAACAAAATGATGAAGTCATAATAATCCCAAGTTTATAGAGTCTAGACCATTCATCAACCAATTGTAGAGTGCATGACATAAAATAATAGAAAAACCAATATGAGTTCTGCTTCTTCTTTTTTCCTTTAAAAGCATGGCTCGTTTGAAGCATGAGCTGGCTTGAGTTGGCTCGTTATAGCTAACAAGCTCAAATCTTTGCTCAGCTCGGCTCACTATCATAACGAGCCAAGCCGAGCTAACAAGCTTCGAATTTTTCGTCTCCAGTCTTATTGACGCCCCTGTCTGACCAATTTGGGGCAGCCGAAACACCACTTTGACCAGCGAAAGATTTGGCACGGCCAACAACATTACTGCGGAACACATATTCTCGACTGGACAATCACTTTAACATTAATCTGACTTCATTGCTGGGTCAAAAGCCTCGAAGACCCTTCAATTAATCAGACTAAATTGATCTGCCATCCCTTGGCCAACACTAACTTAACCCGGGCATCTCCAGTAGCACCATTCATGCTAACCAACTAAGTAGCTTCATCTAGGATCACCATATTACGAAACACACACATAACTTGCACCACTTCAATTTAACATAGAAAGCATAGTTTAAGTTTACAACCGAAGTTTGGTCATCACATTAGTTCATACATAAAAAATTCAAAGCCTACAGCAGAAGTTCATAACATAGTTACATATATGATCTCTGACTCATGCCACACTTAGGCCCTGTTTGGTTGTACTGTTGAAAGATCCTAGTTTTCTTTTGGTAATTAAGTGACAACCTATGTGGACCAATATATGTTTTGCAGCTGCAAGCCTTCTCTGTAAACCTTGAAAAATGATATGGGTATCCAGTGGGGAAAAAAAGCAGTGAAATGTCATCTTCTAATGTTCCCACACAGCAAAGGAACCATCAACAACAGCAAAGGACCGTGGACCGTTGGCTATGAGTGCCTGGATCAGTTAATTGGAAGCCATGGACCGTTAGCTTTCACTGGACAATTGATTTGCTCAAGTCCAGTCCCAACTAGAATCCATCATGGTTTTATAGCATAAAAAAAGTATCGAGGAGCCATCAGATGCTACAGTGCCCAATTAATGCCAGCCGAACACTCTCTAGGTTTCCATATCCGATGGGCAGCGCATGCAGCAAAAGCTGGGGGTCTCCGTATTCAATGGGCAGCGCATGCAGCAAAGTACGCCTTGCAACATTAATGGGCAGAGAGCAACATTCATTGGGTGCATGTGCATTGCTGCATTAATGAGGCAGCTAGCAGCAGCCGATCACACAGGGAGTTAGTTTTTTCTTGCTCTCTGTGCTTTTTGCTTAGACGCAGGTTAAATATAGATGGAAGAAGTATTATACTCCCTCCGTTCCAAATTTTAAGTCGTTCTGGCTTTTTTGGGTACATAGCTTTTGCTATGCACCTAGATACTATGTATCTAGAAAAGAGTAGATGCTAATATATTTTTCTATAAACCTGGTCAATGTTAGAGTGATTTGAATTAGTACAAGACTAAATTAAGTTTTAGAAAAGAGGGAGTAACTTACTTTAATCAATACTAGATTGAAAACAGGTGTGCTAAGGAATAACAGGGCTTGTGTTGGAATAATGAAGAAATTATGAACTTCTGGGAGCTATCACCTATGTCTAAGAGGTTCATAATGAAAGCCTTAGATGTAAACTAAATCTTCACACTTTCACCCATAAGTTCACTTTGGCTTCATTAGGCAACATTAAGTTTGCTAATCATGTGAATATCATACATCACATAAGCAAGCCTACAAAAATCGGAAGGAAAATAATATGAGCACCTGAAGAACCCTTTGTTGTGCCAGAAGCTTCATCTCCACTATAGGAAAGCACATGTTATGTTTCTCCTCAAAATAAGCGCGACAGATGAAAATATGAACATTAACAGAGAAAGACTATTTAGCCACAATCTGACAGAAATTCCTTTGAAAAGAAATTAGAATGAACTAATCTCAACCATGTCTGCCTTGAATGCATCTAAAATTCCTCCGAGTGAGCACACTAGTTCTACAAGTTGGGTTCACCAGGTCATCACGGTTGAAGGATCTGAATTTCAACTTCATTTCCCTTTCACCATCTGACTCACCATCAAAATCAAAGTCTTCATCAGTACTGTCTTCTGATTGGGTGGGAACAGATGGGCCTGCTGATGGCTTGTTGCCCTTGCTCATCTTCTTTCCCCTTCCTGCACCCCCATCTATGACTTCTTCATCAACATTGTCCGCAAACAAGTCATCATCACCATCTTCTAAGTCGTAGTCACTGTCAATGTAATTTGAATCTTCACTGTCATCATCAGACATGTCTGCAGCAGCATTACCATGGCTTGCAACCTCTATGTTACTATAGAACTCTGGTAGTTTATCCCCAGACTGCTTCTCAACATGAATGACCTTCACAGGGCTGACAACCTTGGGTAACTCAGAAGTTGGGTTCAACACTACATCATCCCAGTCAGTAACCCCTGCGTACTTGTAGTGGTCAAAATAAAGCACAAAGTTCTTCACCCTATCTGCAACTTGTGTCATTACCATACAATCTTCATCAGACGAAATGATCCTAAGCCCATCACTTAAATCTTTCCCAGGCAGTAACCAGCACACACTCACATTGTCAGTCAGGCCATAATCTAGCTGCAAGACCAGGTCCTCTATCCACACATAGCACCAGAACTCTACTTCCAAGTTGTCATACCATGTCACTTTACCATCTACATAAGTTCTGTTAGCACCACGACCACAGAAAGAACCTCCATGATGTACTTCTAGTGAAAATTCGTTGAAACCAGGACCTACATTACACAAACAGCAAACTTGATTGAACAATTTCACACTGCAAACCCAGCTGCAAACAAAATCTGCGCTAACAACATGCATCCAAACCCTAGAAATCACTATTTCACCCCCAACAGTAGCCAAATTGGATAACTCCAACTAAATCCAAACCCTAACTATTCAAAGATTGCGCAAGCATTGCACAAGAAGCAGTCATCTACGTCCTGCGGAGGAGGTTCTTCCTCCCTACAACACTCAACCCGCAAGAGATTAGGTCACAGAGAGACTCGCCGTACTCTGGCGGAGGTTCTCCGTCCTTGCCGAACCTAGGAGCCATGCTTTAAGCGATCCAGATGCGCCTTCCTCTGCACGTGCCACCTCCTGCTGCACACCACGCTGCCTTCCTCTACTCCGCCGACGCCTTGCCGTGCTTGTCGGCGTCCGCCTCGCTGCTCACCAAGTCCGCCCCCTCTGACTGGGAGGTTGCGGGGGTGAGAAATAAAAATGCGAACCCGGCAAGGGACTCCTGGAATATTTGGCAGCCCACAGGCTACTCCCACACGAGCCCAGCAGCCACGTTGGTAGTCCAGGTTGGCGAAACAGCCTTCCCATTCCCGGTTTGACCTCCACTGATACATTAATCAAGTTTAGGGGCCCAAATTTCAGGTTTTCAGAGTACATGGACCTACTTGAGAACGCTGGACAAGTTTAGGGACCCCCAGTGGATTTCACTCTATATTTTTCTATAAACCTGGTCAATTTCGAATTAGTACAAGACTAAATTAACTTACATTTTAGAAAAGAGGGAGTACAACAACAACAACAACATAGCCTTTCAGTCCCAGGTAAGTTGGAGTAGGCTAGAGTTGAAACCCACCAAGAGCCCCAAGTCACGGTTCAGACACTTCAATAGCTACTTTCCAAGTACTCCTATTCAAACATAGATCTCTAGGTATATCCCAAGCTTTCAAATCTCTTTTTATTGCCTCCTCCATGTCAATTTCGGTCTTCCTCTACCTCTCCTCATATTATTAGCTTGGCTTAAGACTCCACAATGCACTGGTGCATCTGGAGGTCTCCTTTGGACATGGCCAAACCACCTCAACCGATGTTGGACAAGTTTTTCTTCAATTGGTGCTACCTCTAGGTGATCACGTATATCATCGTTCCGAACTCAGTCCATTCTTGTGTGACCGCAAATCCATCGCAACATACGCATTTCTGCAACACTTAGTTATTGAACATGTCGAATCTTTGTAGGCCAACATTCTGCTCCATACAACATAGCCGGTCTAATCGTCGTTCTATAGAACTTGCTTTTTTAGCTTTTGTGGTACCCTCTTGTCACAGAGAATGCCAGAATCTTGTCGTCACTTGATCCACCATTCTTTGATTCTATGGCTAGCGTCCGCATCAATATCTCCGTCCCTCTATAGCATCGATCCCAGTTACCGAAAGGTATCCTTCTTAGGCACTACTTGACCTTCCAAACTCACATCTCCCTCCTTCTGTACAACTCCGCCAAAGTCACATCTCATGTATTCGGTTTTAGTTCTGCTCAATCTAAAACCTTTAGACTCAAAGGTCTGCCGCCATAACTCTAGTTTCCTATTTACTCCCGCCTGGCTTTCGTCCACTAACACTACATTATCAGCGAACAACATATACCAAAGGATATCCCTTTGTATGTTCCTGGTAACCTCATCCATTACTAAGGCAAAGACATACGGGCTTAAGGCTGACCCTTGATGAAGTCCAATTTTAATCGAGAAGTAATCTATGTTACAATCGTTTGTTCGAACACTAGTCACAACATTGTTGTACATGTCCTTGATGAGGGTCACGTACTTTAATGGGACTTTATGTTTGTCCAAAGACCACCACATAACATTTCTTGGTACCTTATCATAAACCTTCTCCAAGTCAATGAAAACCAAGTGGAGGTTCTTCTTCTGCTCTCTAAACCACTCCATAATCTGTCTTATTAAGAAGATTGCTTCTGTGGCTGACCTTCCGGGCATGAAACCAAATTGGTTTGTTGATATCTGCGTCGTTCCTCGCAAGCGCTGCTCGATGACTCTCTCCCATAACTTCATAGTGTGGCTCATCAACTTAATTCCCCGATAATTAGTATAACTTTGGATATCTCCCTTGTTCTTGTAGATTGGTACCAATATGGTTCTTCTCCACTCCTCAGGCATCTTGTTCGATCGAAAGATATTGTTGAACATCTTGGTTAGCCATACTATAACTATATCCCTGAGACATCTCCACACCTTGATTGGGATACCATCAGGGCCCATTGCTTTGCCCCCTTTCATCATTTTCAATGCTTCTCTGACCTCCGATTGTTGAATACTCCGCACAAAGCGCCTGTTAGTGTCATCAAACGAGTCGTCCAGCTGAACGGTGGTGTTCTTGTTCTCACCATTGAACAATTTATTAAAATACTCTTGCCATCTATGTCTGATCAATTTATCAAAGCGCCTGTTAGAAAAGAGGGAGTAACTTACTTTAATCAATACTAGATTGAGAACAGGTGTGCTAAGGAATAACAGGGCTTGTGTTGGAATAATGAAGAAATTATGAACTTCTGGGAGCTATCACCTATGTCTAAGAGGTTCATGATGAAAGCCTTAGATGTAAACCAAATCTTCACACTTTCACCCATAAGTTCAGTTTGGCTTCATTAGGCAACATTAAGTTTGCCAATCATGTGAATATCATACATCACATAGGCAAGCATACAAAAATCTGAAGGAAAATAATATGAGCACCTGAAGATCCCTTTGTTGTGCCAGAAGCTTCATCTCCACTATTTTGTACTGCTGCAACCTAAACAAAAAGGAAAGCACATGTTATGTTTCTCCTCAAAATAAGCGCGACAGATGGAAATATGAACATTAACAGAGAAAGACTATTTAGCCACAATCTGACAGAAATTCCTTTGAAAAGAAGTTAGAATGAACTAATCTCAACCATATCCGCCTGATTGCATCTAAAATTCCTCGAATGAGCACACTAGTTCTACAAGTACTGTTGTTATTAGTTTAAATTTCAGGATCCCAAGACAAACAGAATTTCATTCTTCGAGCACTTTAGTGCAATAAAGATTCAGATTCAAAATACTATGACGGTATGACCATTCTGAACCCTGAAATGGCTGTGTAATTAAATCTTATTTTGGAATGCTGTACACATGGCATGGAGATCTCCCAAAATATAAAAGCTGGTCCCTAGGCTATGTTTTCTTCCTCCCCTATGTTGGTGATAATCTCTAGGCTGCCAGAGCCACACAACCATAATAAAGTTCAGTTGGACACAGGCACACAGGAATTCTGTCATGTTTGATGTCTATTAATGGTCTTCCACTAGTAGGAATGAAAACGATTGGAAACAGTCAGGAACTGTACTATAGTACGAAAAACAGGAAAATGGTCAGTACAGGATTTTCCCATATTTATGAATTTAATTAATAAGAAAACAGTTATGCTAAAATAAGAAAATGACAAACTTTTATGTTTGCTAAAAACAGAAACGTCAAAAACGTTTTCATAATACGGAAAAAGGTATCGGACGGCATGGGAATTTCCCATACTGCTTTCACCCCTATCTTCCACTAAACAGTAGCTACAAATACACAGTATGCATAGATTCACACATTATGGAAAGCATATGAGCCATGAGCGCTTCCCCTCATGTCCCAGCACTCGGTCTTGTGGGGTCTGGCATCAGACGATGCCCACGAGTTTAGCACCCAGAAATGGAATTAAAAAGGTATTGCTGGATACATATGGGCTGCTATACTGGGCATTGATATATGCTGAACCTTGACTCTTTCAAAGCAAGTAACATCTTACACAAAGTTTTAATGGAAAAAACATCAAAGCCCCCTGCGTCCTTTCCGTCACATGTATCATAAAAGAACAGCAAATGCCCGCAAGATCACACAAACAGATGTCACGACAGTTTTCACATACAAACACTTGACAAAGTAGGAATAAACCAATAGGGTGCCAATTCAGAATGGTATGATTGAATATCATGGATGGGACAGAAAATTAAAATGTATTTGCAGACAGTGTAAATTGACCAATAGATAGGGACTAGTGGACATATGTTGCAGCTAGGGCAATCGACATTTCAGTGCAAACATGAAAAGTGTGATCATAAGCATTCAACCAAATGGAACGAACTTTGCCTAATGATTGAACAGAAATAGCCCTTCCTAGACAGCTCATGGAAGAGTTTGCATTTTAGCATCCAGTATTTCATTCATAACTAAGAAGAAAATAAATATGCCCCATTTTACACGGACACTGCTTAAAGCTACTGCTATATTAATAGAAGATATTACAAAGGCAATGTCCACCTCAGAGTAAACAACAATACAATCAGAATTCCATGTTTTTTTAAGAAGAAATGTTGAATGGATGGAAAGGTAACGCTTTATTAAAGATGCGAAACAAATAGACCACTTTTCCCAAATGAAGCACAATCCAAGGAGGCAATGAATGCGGGGCAAGCTATATGTATAAACCCACAAGACAGTAAGTTACAAAAAAAAAGAGTCACAGGGAATAAATCCAGATTCCTGCCACAACCAGCTAGAATTTTCTTTTCCTTTTCTTATGTTTTGTGCAAATACAAGCACCAAATGCTCCTACTATCGAACTGCATAATCAGCAAGCATTGATAACCAAACCAAAAGGAGGGACCTTTGCAAAGCATAAATGGTATCCGAATCGGGGACCAAGTAACCACAGCATATTCAGCACCAAATAGCTAAGGATCAAGCTATGAATGAAGTATGAAACAAGTAGAATGTCCCAACCCTCGCAGAAACCCTGAACCAGTCAGTTCGATTGCTCCCAGTTCGTAAGCACAACTAACAAGCGGTGTGGGATCATCAACCACCACTATCACAAATCACAAACGCGCAGCTAGGATCCGAACAAAGCCGCCGCATCTCCTCTCCAAAAGCTACGCGTCCGAGGTGCTCGCACAGGGGCCAGCGTACCAATAAGCGATTCCCCAATCAAGCAAGCGCGGTCCGGAGCCTAGCGAGATCCCTAAGCTAGTACTGTACCCAAAGTTTTTGAGGTTTCGTTCACCTTTCCTGGAGGAAGACGAGGGCGGAGTTGACGTCGAGCCCGGCCTAGCAGAGGTAGGCCTCGACGTCCTCGACGAAGGCCGCCGCAGGGATGCCCCGCCGCTCCGCCACCCCCTACAGCATCGACGCCGCCGCCGCCGCCGCCGCCGCCGTCATGAGAGAGAGAGAGGGAGAGAGGGCCAAGTGGAGATGGAGAGAGAGGGAGGAGAAGCAGGCAGAGTCAAAGCCCAAAGAGCAGGATGAAAACTGATCGCATAGCGACGGATATTATATTTATATTTGTTTTCATATTTCTATCCGAATTTGATTTAAATACGGATAGTGTTAATTATGCTAGATAGAATATGATTAGATATCGACATCAGAAATATGCGATTTGAGTATTCGAATACAAATATGGTATCGGATGTCGAATATCCGGACTCATACGTCGGACTCGTATATGAACAGATCTGAAATCCTAAAAGAATTCGATTTGAAATACGGTTGAAAAATATGAGGACCATTTTCACCCAAGCGACAAGCTTCAAGCTTTGAAACAAAGAGAGCGATTGGGTTCCGCGACTAAGGACCTGTTTGGCAGGGCTCCTCTCCGGCTCTGGCTCCGGCTCCTCCAGAGGAGCCTGCCAAACGTTTTCTTGGAAGAGCCGTTTTTCCAGTAAAAAACAGAGGAGCCGGAGCTATTTTGGAGGAGCCACATTGTGGCTCCTCCAAAACAACTCCATCTCCTCCGGAGAAGCCCCTTAGGAGAAGCCGTGCCAAACATGTCCTAAGCACATATCAGGGTCGAGCACAAACAGGGTCGTTGACAGAAAAGGCCCACGAAACCCACGGGACGGGAATGGTTAATGGGCAGCTCGGCCGTCGGCCCAAGTGTCCTGGAAGAACCCCCAAGCAGCCTAGTCCATCACTCCATCCCCTCCTTATTTTTCTCCTTGTTTGGATCCAAATACCTCCTTACTCAAATAGCGACTCTAGTCCATATCTATCGAATATTGGATACTAATTAAAAATATTAATTATAGATTAATTATAAAACTAATTATATATAAAGACTAATTCGTGAGACGAATCTATTAAGTCTAATTAATCCATGATTAGTCCATATGATGCTACAGTAACATGTGCTAATTATAGATTAATTAGGCTTAATAAATTCGTCTCACGAATTAGTCTCAACTTATGCAATTAGTTTTATAATTAGCTCATGTTTAGTTTTTCTAATTAACATCTAAACATCCGATGTGACGTGGAAAGGTTAGTCACGAGATCAAACACATGACCATACGAGATAATCAATTCTTATGCAATCATCCAATCAAATTCTACAAAGAGCTATGGATCTGATCACCTTTGTCAGGACCTATGCACCAAACCTAATCACGTGCTAAGAGGATCAGGTTCCAGGAACCGTGCCGCCAGCGGAGCCCACTAATCAGTGATCACTGATGGCGATGGGGAGAGAGAGAGATTAGATAAACAAGGAAGAGGCGCACAGGACGCCTCGGTTCTCGGATAAGAAATGGCTTGGTACTCGGTAGGGAGAGGAAAAGAGCAGATTTAAATAAACAAAAGATGCAGAAGATTTAGATCAGATAAGGAATGGAACAACTATCTCGGCCTCGTGTCGCTCTCCCTGACTAGGCGGTGTTCCGCCTCCGCCCCCTCCCCTCCGCCTCCGCCCTCTCCCTCTCCCTGACTCTAGTCCACGCGGTGTTCCTATGGAGAGCTAGGACGGTGGTGGCTGGGTGTTTCTCTCCCTCTTCTTTCTCCCTCTCCCTCTTCCTCTCCCTCTCCCGGTGGAGATCTATGCCCTCGTCGTGCTTCTCATGGTGGTGGTTGGCGGCTCGAATCTGGTCTCTTTGCGGGCAGATCTTGATCCCCGTCGGCTAGATCCGTCTCTAGCGGCGTGTGGGTGGTGCCGGCACGCTTCAGGCTGCTCCAGCGTGGCTGGCCTCCTCCGGTGGGCCTCTGGCCGGCTGGCCCTCCCCTCCCTGGCTCTCGGTCGGTTACGAGCAGGGGCGACTGAAAGGTCCTTATTTGATTTTGGTAATTGAATGACAACCTAGCTGGACTAATTGTCACTAATACACTCACACCCTTCACAGTCGCGTCGTAACCCACATAGCAGTCCAATTTCGGCCTCGACAGTAAGTTATCGACAGTGAAAGTCATAGCCATCACCGTCGCTATCTCAGACCGACTGGAAAGTACACAACACTGCCGCATTGGCTTATCAACCGTCCGTGATAAGGTCCTTACTTTCGCCACATTAGAGCACGACCTGCCTATGTCGGTATGCACTACCACCGCCGCATGTGCTATGATCCGTCCGTGATTAGATCCTTATTCCATTGCATTGAGGCCCGACCCGCCTGTGTGGGTATTGTCGATGGCAAAAATACACGCGACAGGGAGCCGCCGACACGTAAGCAAGCCGAGAGAAACTGCACGGAGCAGATCCCGAGCTCGCTCTGGACTTAAGGGGTGAGCGCTCGACCGGATGGTCGTGACCGAGGGCGTACCAGTCAATTTGATCCTGCAATTGACAATGCGAGAAAAGTTGATCAGTAATTTAAGGTGGAACATGCCGGTGTTGGTCCAGACAATTCCAAATATACGGCCAAATGGCCAGCAATATATGGCTATCGACTAGAGAGTCGATATCCAGCATGTTCATGATGTAATGTAAACAAAACAGGCATATCGGTAATTATTATTA